CAATTGGGAAGCAAAGGATTTTGTTCTCATCACCTTTATCAACCAGTAATTTTATCTTTGAATAATTTCCCATTTTTATGGTCTGTAATAACTAAAACAATTCGCACACTATTTTCACCTCATGCCTTGCCCGGGGCGTGTAGGTCCATTTGTAAGGGCTTGATTTTCTTCATTATCATATGCCATGTTTTAATGAATCATTGGACTTTTTTCATCTATAAACTGATGTGTTCATTTTTCTTTCCTTTTTTTTGCATTTTTGTTTATTTAAGGATGGCTATCCCTTACACACACCCACACTCACAAATGCAGGTACCCATCCATTCCGGATTCCATGGGCAACTGTTCTGTTTCAGCCTTCGATAACTCTGAGGATTTGGTCAATCACGCTGAGAACGAAGTTGACGAAGATTGTGAAGTGCCGGAAGAGTTAGCCAGACTTTTACAACAAGAAGAGCGGGTTATTCTGCCTCACGAGGAGTTTCTAGAAACCATCAACTTAGGGACAGAAGAGGACAGGAAAGAAGTAAAAGTGGGTGCCAACCTGGAACCAGATGTCAAGGAGCGCTTAGTACAGTTGTTGAATGAATACGTTGAAATCTTCGCTTGGTCTTATGAAGACATGCCAGGGCTAGACACAGATATCGTGGTTCACCGTCTCCCTACAAGAGAGGATTGTCCACCGGTCAAGCAAAAGGTCCGCCGAATGAGGCCTGGCATGTCTGAGAAAATCAAGGCTGAAGTAATGAAGCAATTCAACGCTGGCTTTCTGGATGTTACAACCTATCCATAATGGGTTGCTAACATTGTGCCCGTACCCAAAAAGGACGGCAAGGTCAGAATGTGTGTGGACTATCGGGATTTGAACAGGGCTAGCCCTAAAGACGATTTTCCACTACCGCGTATCGACATCTTGGTCGACAACACAGCTCAACACAAGGTTTTTTCCTTCATGGACGGATTCTCGGGCTACAATCAGATTAAAATGGCCCCCGAGGACATGGAGAAAACTACCTTTGTCACGCAATGGGGTACCTTCTGCTATAAAGTGATGTCGTTCAGACTGAAGAACGCAGGGGCAACCTATCAACGCGCCATGGTAGCTTTATTTCATGATATGATCCATCATGAAATCGAAGTTTATGTAGACGACATGATAGCTCGATCACAGACAGAAGAAGAACACCTTAATCATTTGCAAAAGCTGTTTTCCAGGTTGAAGGAGTATAAACTCAGACTGAATCCAAGCAAGTGCACTTTTGGAGTTAGGTCTGGTAAACTTTTGGGATTTATTGTCAGCAACAAGGGCATTGAGGTTGATCCAGCTAAAGTAAAGGCTATACAAGAAATGCATGTCCCCCGTACTGAAAAGGAGGTTAGAGGATTCTTGGGACGCTTAAACTATATTGCGAGGTTCATCTCTCACCTGACATCTACCTGCGAGCCAATTTTCAAACTGCTGAAGAAAGATCAGGTAGTTGAATGGAACGATGATTGTCAAGTTTCTTTTGATAAGATCAAGGAGTACTTACTAGAACCTCCTATTCTGATGCCACCCGTTGAAGGAAGGCCGTTGATCATGTATCTGACTGTTTTGGACAACTCAATGGGGTGCGTACTGGGTCAACATGACGAGTCTGGCCGAAAAGAGCATGCCATTTATTACCTTAGCAAAAAGTTTACCGACTGTGAGACTCGCTACTCACTGCTCGAGAAAACTTGTTGCGCTTTGGTATGGGCTGCTCGCCGGCTAAGGCAGTATATGTTGACTCATACCACTTTGCTGATTTCCAAGATGGATTCGATTAAGTATATCTTCGAGAAGCCGACTTTATCTGGAAGAATTGCTAGATGGCAAATGATCTTGACTGAATATGACATCCAGTATACTACCCAAAAAGCTATAAAGGGGAGTGTACTAGCTGACCATCTAGCTCATCAAGCCGTCGAGGATTACCAATCTATGAGATTCGACTTCCCTGACGAGGACATCATGACATTGGACAACATTGAAGGAAACGGACCGTATGACGGACCTGAACAAGGATCCTGATGGACCCTATACTTTGATGGTGCTTCAAATGCACTGGGAAACGGCATCGGTGCAGTACTCATTTCTCCAGATGGTTGTCATACACCCTTCACTGCCCGACTTTGCTTCAACTGTACCAATAACATGGTTGAATATGAAGCTTGCATCTTTGGTCTCAAGGCTGCTATAGACTTGGGAATCAAATCTTTGGTCGTATTTGGGGACTCGAATTTGGTTATCAGTCAAGTCAAAGGAGAGTGGGACACCAAACATCCTAATCTTATCCCATACAAAGAACATGTCTTAACATTGCTGTCTCATTTCGAGCAGATTACCTTCAAGCATTTCCCGCGAGAAGAAAATCAGTTAGCCGATGCTCTGGCTACAATGTCTTCCATGTTTAAACTCAACTGGGATAACGAGGCTCCCCAAATTACCATCGAGCGAATGGATGAACCCGTGCATTGTCATGAGATTAATACCGAAGAAGTAGTGGAACAACCCTGGTTTCATGAAATCAAAAGGTATCTCCAGACCAGAGAATATCCTGAAGGAGCTTCCGTCAATGACAAAAAGTTCTTAAGGAGATTTGCTGCCAAGTTCTTCCTGAGCAATGGCATCCTTTATAAACGCAGTCATGATTGTGTTCTACTTTGTTGTGTGGACAAGGTTGAAGCAGAGTTGATCATGACCGATATACACAATGGCACATTTGGCACTCACTTGAGCAGACATACAATGGCAAAAAAGAGTCTAAGGGAAGTGTAGCGGTGAAATTCAGAGATCAAGCTATTAATTAACTTGACTCACAAAAGCAAGAGTCGCCACCGCGCTTTATTATTTCCAAGGGAAAAGGGAAAAGAGCGAAATAAAACCCTAAAATATGCAATGTAAAATAATACTTAAAAGTAATAAAAATACAATGCGTTTTTGAAAGAGATCGAGAGTTCGGGGGTTGGTTATACAATGGGAAGGTATTAGCACCCAATGCATCTACGGTACTCCGCAGGAACCTTTTGAAATATCTGTTTTTGGTTAAAATTGTTTGTTTGATTAAAATGGTTCGTTTGGCTAAAAAATGGGTATGGATGAGATTTTGAAGAGACAGCGACCTAATGTCGAAGTTTTGACTTAAAAGGTGTGAGTTTAAAAATTGAATCTTTTGGGGAAATTATCTTAAGTTTGGAAAAATAGTAAACAAGCAAAAAAATGAATGAGGCTATTCGCACGATTGTAGAAGATGTTTGATGACGTAAAGTCAACAAAGTTTAAATCTTTTCCTTGGAGTAAGCAAAATAAAACGAACATCAAAATATAAACATTCAGAAGTTCACAAGAAAATAAATTTGACAAAAACAAATTAATGATCAAGAGGCACCGAGGAATTGAAATGACAGAAATATACAAATAAAAGGAATATAACTAATTATCTAAAGAAGTTATTCGAACTAAACTAAAAATTACTTACTAAAATAATTCTAAACTAATTACAAATTCTAAGGTTATAAAAAATCTAGTATTATTGAATTTGATCTAAACTAAACTAAAGTTTTAAAATTTAGTAAGTTAAATCTAGATTAAATTAAAATCCTAAGGTTACTAAATTAAATCTAAAACAAATGAAAATTCTAAAGTTACTAAACTAAATCTAAATCAAATAAAATTCTAAAACTACTAAACTAAATTTAAATCAAATAAAAACTCTAAAGTTATTAAACTAAATAAAAATTATAAACTTATTAAACTAGTTCTAAATCAAATAAAAATTATAAATTTATTAAACTAATTCTAAATCAAATAAAAATTCTAAAGTCATTAAACTAAAACTAAACAAATAAAATTCTAAAGTTAACTAAATAAAATCAAATAAAATTCTAAAGTCACTAAACTAAAACTAAACAAATAAAATTCTAAAGTTAACTTAAATAAAATTAAATAAAATTCTAAAGTCACTAAACTAAAACTAAACAAATAAAATTCTAAAGTTAACTTAAATAAAATTAAATAAAATTCTAAAGTTATTAAACTAAACTAAAACAAATAAAAATTCTAAAACTTACTAAATGAAGTAAAATTCTAAAGTTATAAAATAAAACTAAAACAAAATAAAATTCTAAAGTTATTAATTATGATTCTAAATATTTTAAAGTTATAAAATAAATCTAAACTAATTAAAAAAATCTAAGTTAATACGAAACTAAATCTAAATATAAGATTTATTAATATTTTTTTTATATTTTTTTTTTTGGAAACTCAAGTTACACTTCTTCTGTCACAAGCAGATGTTAATGTTCAAAATACATATTGCTTTCTAAGAGTACAAAAGATCATCCAATTGCATGTTGATAATCATCTAACCTTTCCACAAACAATTTAATAATCTACATTGAGCTAGGTGGAAAGAAGCTCATATCCTGCACCAAGAATTTCAAAACAGTGCCTAACTTCATGAGTAAACATCATCGCTGATCAGCTATGCCTCATAATTTCCAGGAGTTAGCATTATTCAACATAGTCTGAAAGTTTAGCTCATTCCAAGTTGACACACTTGAATTAAGGTGAAACCATCAACATCTCTTGAACACTACTTAAATAACACGACATCTTAAATTAATTCAAACAAGATTAGTGTCTAGCATTAAAACTCATGATAAACCACCATTAAAAACTCAAGTAGCATCGTAATGCCATAAAAAATTATCATTCAAATAAAGCCACGCCATAAAACTTCAAGCTTCAATTTAACAAACAACATGGTTTCCAATTACATTTAATAATCAACATCATGTTATCATTCAAATTGGCAAGCTAAAACTAAAGTCACAAATTCAATAATTATAAACAACACTAATTTAATCAAAACAAAACAATCCTAAAACATATCACTCAAAATTGAATTAACAGCATAACATCACAGTTTAAACAATCAATAATAGAATCACAGAGTTACCGGACAGCGTCGAAATTATCAAAGCAAAGGTGTTGAAGTTGCTGTATGATTGGTGGAATACCGCTCGCGTACGTAAGCTGCTACTGTTGACGGAAGATTGATGATAATGTTTGTGATGTGAGAAATACTCTCCTTTTCCATCACACCCTCAATCTTCTCCTCCTCATGAGAAACCTCTCTGTGAGCATAAACCGCATCCGCCCCAACTTCCTTAGCCAATTCAACCAAAACAGCATCCGGCTTCCCAACTTTATTATTCTCACAATCAATCATAAACAAATAAGCCTCTTGAAACTTGTCACCTTCACAAAAGGCCTTAACAGCAATGTTAACAGAATAAACATCTAATTTAATATTAAACCTAGAGGGAACCTCATCTAAAAACTTAACAACCTCATGAAATCTCCGATTGGAAACCAAAACATTAAGCGCGGCATTGAAAGATTTAACAGTTGTACGACATTTAAAACAATGCATTTCATAAAAAGTATCAAGCGCGTGACGAACCATACCAGCCTTCCCATACAAGGTGATAATCCGAATGATGAAGCCTTCACTGCGGGACTGCGGTAACGTTTTCTGGTGTTCGAGTAGTTTCTCGATGTAGTCGAAGCGTTTAGCGGCGGCGGAAGAAGGTGAGTTGCTGAAGTTGTTGAAGGAGGTGATGAGCTTCACGGATGGTGTTTGGTTGAGAGAGGAAGACCGGTGATGAAGATGAGAACGGTGGGGCGTTGGGTTATGGTTTCGAACAGAGGGAGCTTGTGTGAAGGTTGGGTATGAGGAGAAGGTGGGTGATTTAAGTTGAATGAAAGATTGAAGATGAAATTGCTGGTTGTGTCGGTTAGCGGAATGGGTCGTAACGGTCACGGATTGGAGATGATGAAGGTGGGAAAATGATGAATTGAAGGGTGAATTGATGACGGACAAGTTGCGGTGGTGGTTTAGTGGAAGGAAGATTGAAGTCGACGGTATCGCGGAACGGAGGCTTTAATGTTGTTTGTGTTGAAGATGAACAGCGAGAGGGAGGTTTGATGCTGTGCACGGAGAGAGGGAGATGAGTTACGATGGAAATCGGTGGGTGGGTTTACTGCTTATGCTTGTGTATTGTTATTTGTTTTTTTATTTTCTCCCCCCCTTAACAAAGAAAAGAAAGAAGTGTTTATATAGACAGATCAAGAGGAAATTTCACTTCTGTTTTGCAATTCATTTGCTATTTCTGGATCGATCCATTACTCTCTCTAACAACCAATCAGAATAAAGCACAGTTTAACAAATAATTTTTATGACCAAAAAGCCCTTAAATGATAAAAATAACCAAAAAACTAAATGCATTAAAATTAACTCAATTTAACATGATTTTTTTGAATATTTTATGAATAAAATATAAAGACCCAAAATGACCAAAAATAAAAAACGGACGGAAATTTATCCGAAAAAATAAAATGAACACATTAAAATAATCTACATGTCACAAAGATTAAAGAAAAAATATTCAAGAAGTCAAAAATAAAATGATAAAATATCAGGCTAATACGGACATTTACGGTTAAAAACGAGACTTCAAACTATACCGAAAAAATAAAGCGAGCACACCGTCATAATCTACGCGTCATGCAGATTCATAAAATGATCGGTAAGAGGTGAAAACTTGAAATATTTTTCTCGCTATCTTTTCGCACATTGTTGAATCGCTTTTAACAGTTTGTCTATAAAACCAAAATATTTTTATTATTGACATATAAACAATTTGGAGCAATGCAAGAAAATAGTAAACAGATAAAAATGAATGAAATGAAATGTCGGGTATTTTACAACTGAAAGACGATGCAAACTTTGATTTAAACTGACTTTTTCTGGTCAACTTAAATACGACTAATGATGCAAAATGTGATGAATGAAGATATTTACTAATGATTGTGACCAAATGACAAAATATGGTATGAATGTGCGACTGAAGAAATTAGGGGCAAAATTAAGGATGCAATAGTTGTGCCTTGATGAATCAGTCTTCAAGAATCCACAATCAACCGTACTTCTGGCTTGGGAGACTCAAAACCTTAATTGAGGCGCGACACCTGATGCTCTTGATTCAGACTTGTCTCTGCACATGAAGCAAAAGAAAACATGAACATACACCTTTGTATGCGATTAGAAATTAGTGATACATATGCTAAAAATGTTCAAAACACTTGACAATCTTCGCATAGTCAAAGCTCGAAAGTGAGAGGTTAAAACTGACCGTATTTCGTGACCTTGACTTATCTTAAAAAATGCAAAAATAAAAATGGGATCTTAGGTCAAAAATTGGGGTACAACAGCTGCCCCTATTTAAGTTTCTTCTATCTGGAGATATGAAGATTGGGATCTTCATTTCGACGAGATTGAAGGGACTTAAATATAGAATACACAATTTTTGACCTTAAAATATCGCGATTATGTTCATGATATGATATGAATGTAATGCTCTGAATTTTATGGGGAATGACGCCATATGAGACAGACTATGTTGGAGAAACCAAGCACATTATACAGTAATCCCACAGAGGAAGAGGTTGTAACTCTACTGGGGAAACAGAGTCATAGACTTCAAATGAGAGACTCTTGAATGATTTACATCAGTATTGAGACTGGAGAAGGTAATGATTTACATCAGTACTGTGACTGGAAAAGGAAATGATGGACATCAGTACTGAGACTGGAAAATGATTGACATCAGCACTGTGGCTGGAAAACAAAATGATTGACATCAGCACTGTGGCTGGAAAACAAAATGATTGACATCAGCACTGTGGCTGGAAAACAAAATGATTGACATCAGCACTGTGGCTGGAGATAAAAATCTCTGATTTCTGAATTTTACCAAGAACGGTAACACATTTCTTCTTTAACCAAGATATCGCTTGAAAAGGATAAAATAACAAACTTCCCCACGGGACTTTTCCGAAAGGATGCCATTTGATGAGTAGACATTATTGTTGGGGATACACAAGCTGCTCAAATAAAGAGGCCGCCACTTGCTTCCTTTCAAAGGTGTCAATAACATAGAAGTTGCTCATGAAGAGACCGCCGCTTGCTGTTTTTTCAAATGTATCAATAACATACAAGTTGCTCATGAAGAGACCGCCGCTTGCTGTCTTCAAAGAATATTAAAGCACACAAGCTGCTCATGAAGAGTCTGCCACTTGTTGCCAATAACCCACAAGCTGCTCATAAAGAAGCTGCCACTTGCTGTCTTCAAAGAATATTAAAACACACAAGCTACTCATGAAGAGTCCGCCACTTGTTGCTTATAACCCACAAGCTGCTCATAAAGAAGCTGCCACTTGCCGTTTTCAAGGGAACAATAACACACAAGTTGCTCAAATAGATAAGCTGCCACTTGCTGTCTTCCAAAAATACTAACGTACAAGCTGCTCATGAAGAAGCTGCCACTTGCCGTTTTCTGTACAAGCTGCTCATGAAGAGACCGTCACTTGCCGTTTTCAAAAGAAAAAGATAACGTACAAGCTACCCATGAAAGGACTGCCACTTGCTGTTTTTCAAGAGAACAATAACACACAAGTTGCTCATGAAGAGACTGCCGCTTGTTGTTTTCAAAGGTGATAATAACATACAAGTTGCTCATGAAGAGACCACCGCTTGTTGTTTTTTCAAATGTAGCAATAACAATACAAGTTGCTCATGAAGAGACCGCCGCTTGCTGTTTTTAAACATGTTGATAACATACAAGTTGTCCATGAAGAGACTGTCGCTTGCTGTTTTTTTTCTTTTCAAAATTACCAATAACACACAAGTTGCTCATGAAGAGACCGCCGATTGTTGTTTTCTTTTGAAAATTACCAATAACACACAAGTTGCTCATGAAGAGACCGCCGCTTGATGTTTTTCAAGAGAAAAATAACACACAAGTTGCTCATGAAGAGACCGCCGCTTGCTGTTTTTAAACATGTTGATAACATACAAGTTGTCCATGAAGAGATCGCCGCTTGATGTTTTCAAAGGTGACAATAACATACAAGTTGCTCATGAAGAGACCTCCGCTTGCTGTTTGTCAAGAATATCCATAACACACAAGTTGCTCATGAAGAGACTGCCGCTTGCTGTTTCCCAAAAAGATACCCATAAAATATCGTGAAGATATTGCTAGAGGTGAGAACCAATAATTTCATCGAGGAAGGACAAACTGCTCATGAAGAGACCGCCATTTGTCGTAGAGAAATCAGAAATAATCAAACTGCTCAAATAAAGAGTCAGTCGCTTGTTGTCATGTCGATATTCCAGAAGAAGGTTGTGATAACACTACTGGGGAATAAAGTTCATCTTCAATGGGGAACCATGAATAAATCCTTCTTGAGGAGACCAAGTATTTACGTTGCAAAATAAATGCACTCTCCCTCTAGGTTTCACAGCCTAGAGAGATCCACAGGGTATCGTTCACAAGAGACAAAGCTCAATCCAGGAATAAACTGGAGAGAAAATAGTCAAACAAGACTCCACCCAATGAGGAAACAACTCAAATGGGGATTTATCCTATCCAGGGATGGAAAAGGAAAGCTAAAGCAAGATTCTTCCACGAGAGTTAACTCAGTGGGGAATTAGAAAAAGAGGCGCACTTTCTGCTTAAGTTGACACTCTATTTGGAAAGATCAAATACACTATTTGAATAGACATAACCAAGGTATACGAACTCAAAGATATCAACAAATACAACTGTGCGTGCATGATGCAAGTGTGAAGGAATAAATGAATGCCATGTATGTGCTGACAAAACAAATAGACAAGATAAACCGGAGATGGTAAGACATCATAGCACAACCCAACACTCGGCTAATCTCAACAGGATGGGAACATTACTGGAGATAAAACACAGGCCATCATTGGAGCAAGGTCCTTTTACAAGGCTTAAGTATCTCTGGAGAGGAAGATATTTTCAGGTAGGAAACCCAAAGTCCAGTCTTCTGTTGCAAACAATTCATTGAAAGGATAACAACACAAACAAAGTTTCAGCTGGAAAGAAGTCTTGCTTAGCTGGAGATATTGGGAACACCACCCTCTGATAATGTATGAAAAACATATCTTGACAAATCTGGATTGCCCCTGGGATTAATTTTGGATGCCCCAAGTTTATTGCTGATAAGCTGCGTGATGCACGACAATTCTTGCGAATAGCTTCACTTCTAACATGCCCCAAGCTATCTGGTTGGTGAGGAGAAATAATCCCAAGAGGATTTTACAAAAGACCTGGCATTCATCATGCTCTGGTGTCTTCAAACTCTTAGAGAGATCTCGACGTGATTGCCCCGAATTGACTGTAATTGGCACAACAAAGTCTTCAAATTTTGCCCCAAAAGAGTAAACAAGTTAGGAAAGCATTAATTAGGAGAAGCAACATGTCCGTGCTTAAGGTCTTCAGGTAACATGCCCATGGATATGATTTTTTTCTTGAAATGATTCGCCAATTACTCAACATAGTTTCAGGCCTTAAAAGAATAAACTCATCACTGGTGCTTATGTGAGCTTCCTTGATATCAAACAAATGTTTTGCAGTTAGAAAAAGTTTACAATGAGAATGAAAATTCTAATGCAACAGTTATGTAAGTCTTGAAGATTTTGAAAGATATCGCACAAATTTTGCGAGTTAAAGCACCATTTATTTTTGTATAGGAAAAACATATGATACCAACATAACTATTTAGAACATTCATGGGAGTCAGGAACACTATCTCATTGAAGTATGCTTTCAAAATAACCTTGCTTCAATTAGGACTTTTGAAGGTTGTAACGTGGTCTGGTTCATGGTTTTTTAGAAAAAAGATTTTAAGGCTCAAAAATATTTGGTGCCCACCCATTCTTCATGATGTTCTCCAACCCTATGTTCAGTTAATTCAACATGAGTGTTCATCTCTCAAAAGGATTTTGTGAAGGTCAAGGAAACGACGAGGCTTTCGGAGTAGAAACCGCCCTCATGTCTTCGTGTTTGTAGTCACCAATTTGTTCTTTGTTGAGGACTTTTCTTTGCAGTCCTTTTCTTTGCAATTTTTATTTTCCCTAACTTTTGCCTGAACTAATTATTTTGAATTGATAGTCCAGCGGGATACCTTAATTTTGCCTAAGTCACACGTTTTCATGTTTTTTGACTTAGCAGGCTTTTTCTTTTTTCTCGATTTTTGACTTTTTGAACAAAATGTGTGACATTAGCTTGTCTTTGCTTGTTGAGAGGATTTTGATTGCCTCGTTTCTTGATGAATGAGGGATAACATTGTGGTTCCACATCCTCTAGATTCATTATACATGAAGGATAGCCCTCGTAGTTTCTCTTCAAAAAACATCTTCCTTATGAATTTCGAACACTCAGTCAGATTAACTGAAAACTACCCTGCCCTAGGTTAAAATTTGAGGGTTTTTTCGTATAGAAAAGAAACTCCTACTTCAAGGCTCAAAAGGGGTTAGCAAGGGATTATATTCCTTATATCTCCAGTGTTTAGGGATTTGAAACAATGCCTGTACATCACCAGCAAGATTTTATCCAAAAGCAAACAACCAGAGATTTTGTGTTCTTTAGATCATCATCCTCCCTTCAATCTCTGCCTAGGCAAGAGAATGGGCAACAGGTTGGTATCATAATGCCAAAAGAAATTTAAAATTTGAAATCAAATATGAGTGAAACGAATGAATTTCTTCAAGACAAACATATTCATTGTATTAAGATAATCATTCAGATGCAAACAAGTTCTTACATGCAAACAATGTTTTGATAAACAAGAAAAATTACAAAAAGCAGAAATAAGTTAATAATCTGGGAAGGCTTTCCATCTGGACCGGAATCACCGAAAACATCCTTCAAAACTCAAAGTGACCATCAATCGTGTTTACTCTTCGGCACGTGCTTGATTTGAACTTCAAAACCAACATCCTTGAATGACAATCAGTGAATACTTTTATCATCGCTTCCTCCTTCTTAGAAGGATTGACTTGGGCAGCAACCAAAATTTCAACCAAAACAGTTGAGTGATCCATACCAGCTTTCAAATTAGTCACCTCTCTGCGGAGTTCAGAAATCTCTTGCTTGATATTCTCCATTGTTCTCTTAGCGTCAGTGTTGTACTGGTGAGACCAAAGGAAAAATAAGACTCGGAAAAAGACCTTGAAAGTGAAACAAAAAATGTAGAATGATGTATGATATGCAAAAGAGAGTTTTTATTTGATTTTCAAGGAACTCAAGATATTAAGTTGTAAACATCAAAGTATGAAGATAGAAGATGAATTTTAAATTGGCTCCAAACATTGATCAAGTTATCATCAAGATCAATCATCCATTTTGGTGGATTAGGGTTTTCGCCCTATCAACACCCAAGATCCATTGAGCTTGACGAAACTTGTGATATTCACAAAGAAAGACCTCCAAATTCCTTCAAAGTCAAGTGAAAAGGGTTTTATGGATGCATGAATGCATGGCTATGCAACAACCACAAGCAAGGTCACAAATAAAGTCAAAATGTTCAACGTCACGAGCATGGAGTCAAGGTAAGGAACACCCCCAAGGTATGTACTAACGGTTTAATCACACATGTAGAACAAGGTTCTAAGAGTTCCCGGAGTCTACATTCCTCCTTCGGATATTACCAACGTCTTGATTACTCAATAATCAGCAATATTCTCAAGAGAAACTCATCCGAGCGTAGCATCGCATAACAATTACTTCCGGATTACTCCGTTATAATCTCCGCGCTACACCTAAAAGGCCAAGATGGGTTAGGGTTCTACGGTTCCCAGCTTCTCTGGCTCCCAGGTCGAAAATAATAATGTCTTCCCGATTACTCGGTAAACAAATATTACGTTCAAAAGGGTCTTCCACTGAGTGGGGGATCTCATGCCTCCTTCTTCGGGATTACTCCCTCAAAGTTAACATGACTATACCGCCCGTCCTATTCCTAAGTGTAACTTAGTCCGGGTATAGGACTTGTCCTTTGTAAATATTATCAACACCCAAATAATCATAATATATACATATAATCAAACAATCAAATAATGATAAAACAGATAAAACAAATTAGGCTTAACCCACTTAGGGATGGACCAGCAAGAGGTCAATCTTTCCCCAGCAGAGTCGCCAATTCTGTAGCGGTGAAATTCAGAGATCAAGCTATTAATTAACTTGACTCACAAAAGCAAGAGTCGCCACCGCGCTTTATTATTTCCAAGGGAAAAGGGAAAAGAGCGAAATAAAACCCTAAAATATGCAATGTAAAATAATACTTAAAAGTAATAAAAATACAATGCATTTTTGAAAGAGATCGAGAGTTCGGGGGTTGGTTATACAATGGGAAGGTATTAGCACCCAATGCATATGCGGTACTCCGCAGGAAGCTTTTGAAATATCTGTTTTTGGTTAAAATTGTTTGTTTGATTAAAATGGTTCGTTTGGCTAAAAAATGGGTATGGATGAGATTTTGAAGAGACAGCGACCTAATGTCGAAGTTTTGACTTAAAAGGTGTGAATTTAAAAATTGAATCTTTTGGGGAAATTATCTTAAGTTTGGAAAAATAGTAAACAAGTAAAAAAATGAATGAGGCTATTCGCACGATTGTAGAAGATGTTTGATGACGTAAAGTCAACAAAGTTTAAATCTTTTCCTTGGAGTAAGCAAAATAAAACGAACATCAAAATATAAACATTCAGAAGTTCACAAGAAAATAAATTTGACAAAAACAAATTAATGATCAAGAGGCACCGAGGAATTGAAATGACAGAAATATACAAATAAAAGGAATATAACTAATTATCTAAAGAAGTTATTCGAACTAAACTAAAAATTACTTACTAAAATAATTCTAAACTAATTACAAATTCTAAGGTTATAAAAAATCTAGTATTATTGAATTTGATCTAAACTAAACTAAAGTTTTAAAATTTAGTAAGTTAAATCTAGATTAAATTAAAATCCTAAGGTTACTAAATTAAATCTAAAACAAATGAAAATTCCAAAGTTACTAAACTAAATCTAAATCAAATAAAATTCTAAAACTACTAAACTAAATTTAAATCAAATAAAAACTCTAAAGTTATTAAACTAAATAAAAATTATAAACTTATTAAACTAGTTCTAAATCAAATAAAAATTATAAATTTATTAAACTAATTCTAAATCAAATAAAAATTCTAAAGTCATTAAACTAAAACTAAACAAATAAAATTCTAAAGTTAACTAAATAAAATCAAATAAAATTCTAAAGTCACTAAATTAAAACTAAACAAATAAAATTCTAAAGTTAACTTAAATAAAATTCTAAAGTCACTAAACTAAAACTAAACAAATAAAATTCTAAAGTTAACTTAAATAAAATTAAATGAAATTCTAAAGTTATTAAACTAAACTAAAACAAATAAAAATTCTAAAACTTACTAAATGAAGTAAAATTCTAAAGTTATAAAATAAAACTAAAACAAAATAAAATTCTAAAGTTATTAATTATGATTCTAAATATTTTAAAGTTATAAAATAAATCTAAACTAATTAAAAAAATCTAAGTTAATACTAAACTAAATCTAAATATAAGATTTACTAATATTTTTTTTTATATTTTTTTTTTTGGAAACTCAAGTTACACTTCTTCTGTCACAAGCAGATGTTAATGTTCAAAATACATATTGCTTTCTAAGAGTACAAAAGATCATCCAATTGCATGTTGATAATCATCTAACCTTTCCACAAACAATTTAATAATCTACATTGAGCTAGGTGGAAAGAAGCTCATATCCTGCACCAAGAATTTCAAAAGCAGTGCCTAACTTCATGAGTCAACATCATCGCTGATCAGCTATGCCTCATAATTTCAAGGAGTTAGCATTATTCAACATAGTCTGAAAGTTTAGCTCATTCCAAATTGACACACTTGAATTAAGGTGAAACCATCAACATCTCTTGAACACTACTTAAATAACACGACATCTTAAATTAATTCAAACAAGATTAGTGTCTAGCATTAAAACTCATGATAAACCACCATTAAAAACTCAAGTAGCATCGTAATGCCATAAAAAATTATCATTCAAATAAAGCCACGCCATAAAACTTCAAGCTTCAATTTAACAAACAACATGGTTTCCAATTACATTTAATAATCAACATCATGTTATCATTCAAATTGGCAAGCTAAAACTAAAGTCACAAATTCAATAATTATAAACAACACTAATTTAATCAAAACAAAACAATCCTAAAACATATCACTCAAAATTGAATTAACAGCATAACATCACAGTTTAAACAATCAATAATAGAATCGCGGAGTTACCGGACAGCGTCGAAATTATCAAAGCAAAGGTGCTGAAGTTGCTGTATGATTGGTGGAATACCGCTCGCGTGCGTAAGCTGCTACTGTTGACGGAAGATTGATGATAATGTTTGTGATGTGAGAAATACTCTCCTTTTCCATCACACCCTCAATCTTCTCCTCCTCATGAGAAACCTCTCTGTAGGCATAAACCGCATCCGCCCCAACTTCCTTAGCCAATTCAACCAAAACAGCATCCGGCTTCCCAACTTTATTATTCTCACAATCAATCATAAACAAATAAGCCTCTTGAAACTTGTCACCTTCACAAAAGGCCTTAACAGCAATGTTAACAGAATAAACATCTAATTTAATATTAAACCTAGAGGGAACCTCATCTAAAAACTTAACAACCTCATGAAATCTCCGATTGGAAACCAAAACATTAAGCGCGGCATTGAAAGATTTAACAGTTGTACGACATTTAAAACAATGCATTTCATAAAAAGTATCAAGCGCGTGACGAACCATACCAGCCTTCCCATACAAGGTGATAATCCGAATGACGAAGCCTTCACTGCGGGACTGCGGTAACGTTTTCTGGTGTTCGAGTAGTTTCTCGATATAGTCGAAGTGTTTAGCAGCGGCGGAAGAAGGTGAGTTGCTGAAGTTGTTGAAGGAGGTGATGAGCTTCACGGATGGTGTTTGGTTGAGAGAGGAAGACCGGTGATGAAGATGAGAACGGTGGGGCGCTGGGTTATGGTTTCGAACAGAGGGAGCTTGTGTGAAGGTTGGGTATGAGGAGAAGGTGGGTGATTTAAGTTGAATGAAAGATTGAAGATGAAATTGCTGGTTGTGTCGGTTAGCGGAATGGGTCGTAACGGTCACGGATTGGAGATGATGAAGGTGGGAAAATGATGAATTGAAGGGTGAATTGATGACGGACAAGTTGCGGTGATGGTTTAGTGGAAGGAAGATTGAAGTCGACGGTATCGCGGAATGGAGGCTTTAATGTTGTTTGTGTTGAAGATGAACAGCGAGAGGGAGGTTTGATGCTGTGCACGGAGAGAGGGAGATGAGTTACGATGGAAATCGGTGAGTGGGTTTACTGCTTATGCTTGTGTATTGTTATTTGTTTTTTTATTTTCTCCCCCCCTTAACAAAGAAAAGAAAGAAGTGTTTATATAGACAGATCAAGAGGAAATTTCACTTCTGTTTTGCAATTCATTTGCTATTTCTGGATCGATCCATTACTCTCTCTAACAACCAATCAGAATAAAGCATAGTTTAACAAATAATTTTTATGACCAAAAAGCCCTTAAATGATAAAAATAACCAAAAAACTAAATGCATTAAAATTAACTCAATTTAACATGATTTTTTTGAATATTTTATGAATAAAATATAAAGACCCAAAATGACCAAAAATAAAAAACGGACGAAAATTTATCCAAAAAAATAAAATGAACACATTAAAATAATCTACATGTCACAAAGATTAAAGAAAAAATATTCAAGAAGTCAAAAATAAAATGATAAAATATCAGGCTAATACGGACATTTACGGTTAAAAACGAGACTTCAAACTATACCGAAAAAATAAAGCGAGCATACCGTCTTAATCTACACGTCATGCAGATTCATAAAATGATCGGTAAGAGGTGAAAACTTGAAATATTTTTCTCGCTATCTTTTCGCACATTGTTGAATCGCTTTTAACAGTTTTTCTATAAAACCAAAATATTTTTATTATTGACATATAAACAATTTGGAGCAATGCAAGAAAATAGTAAACAGATAAAAATGAATGAAATGAAATGTCGGGTATTTTACAACTGAAAGACGATGCAAACTTTGATTTAAACTGACTTTTTATGGTCAACTTAAATACGACTAATGATGCAAAATGTGATGAATGAAGATATTTACTAATGATTGTGACCAAATGACAAAATATGGTATGAATGTGCGACTGAAGAAATTAGGGGCAAAATTAAGGATGCAATAGTTGTGCCTTGATGAATCAGTCTTCAAGAATCCACAATCAACCGTACTTCTGGCTTGGGAGACTCAAAACCTTAATTGAGGCGCGACACCTGATGCTCTTGATTCAGACTTGTCTCTGCACATGAAGCAAAAGAAAACATGAACATACACCTTTGTATGCGATTAGAAATTAGTGATACATATGCTAAAAATGTTCAAAACACTTGACAATCTTCGCATAGTCAAAGCTCGAAAGTGAGAGGTTAAAACCGACCGTATTTCGTGACCTTGACTTATCTTAAAAAATGCAAAAATAAAAATGGGATCTTAGGTCAAAAATTGGGGTACAACAGGAAGGCTACTACTGGTCTACCATGGAAGCTGATTGTCATCAACATTCCCGCACCTGTCACAAATGCCAAGTCTACGCCGACAAGGTACATATTCCTCCTGTTCCTCTCAACATTCTGACAGCTCCTTGGCCATTCGCAATGTGGGGCATTGACATGATTGGAGAGATCAAGCCCACGGCATCCAATGGAGATCGCTTCATCCTGGTGGCTATTGATTACTTCATCAAATGGGTCGAGGCAGCTTCCTATGCCTCAGATACAAAGAATGTGGTTGCCCGCTTCATCAAGTAGAACCTCATATGCCGGTACGGTATCCCCGACAGGATCATCACAGACAACGGTACAAATTTGAATAATACTATGATTACCGCTCTATGCGAGCAGTTCAAGATTTATCATCACAATTCATCTCCCTACCGGCCGAAGATGAACGGTGATGTTGAAGCCGCGAACAAAAATATTAAGAAGATCATTCAAAATATGACAGTCACCTACAAGGACTGGCATGAGATGTTACCGTTTTCTCTGCATGGATATCGTACCACGACACGTACTTCAACAGGGGCAACTCCATTTTCTTTAGTATATGGCATGGAATTTGTTCTGCCTATGGAAGTTCAGATTCCTTCTTTGAGGATTATGAAGGATGCCGGTTTGAGTGAAGACAATTGGATTTAGACCAGGCTTGATCAACTTAACTTGATTGACGAGAAGCGACTTACTTCTCTTTGTCATGGTCAGATGTATCAAAAGCGGATGATCAAGGCTTTCAACAAAAAGGTCAGGCGTCAGGTATATCAAGTCGGAGATCTTGTAATCAAGCGGATCATCTTACCGCAAAGTGATGCCAGGGGCAAGTGGACTCCTACTTACGAAGGACCATTTGTAATCAAGATCATCTTTTTTGGTGGGGCAATGATTCTGACCACCATGGACGGCGATGACTTGCCACATCATGCGAACGCAGACATAGTCAAAAGATACTACGCATAAAACGACCCGACAAGTTGAAAACCTGAAAGGGAGACTTGTGCAAAAATGGGCATCCCGGTGAATCGAAAACCCGAAAGGGCGGTTCAGGCAAAAATTAGGGATAAAACAAAAAAAAATGTACACCCGGCAAGTTGAAAACCCGAAAGGGCGACTTGGGAAAAAGAGGGTTTCCCGGTGGATCGAAAACCCAAAAGGGCGGTCCAGGTAAAAGTTAGGGAATTAAAGTGTATGGCTATGTCTCGTCGAATCACTTTAAAAACAATCTCTTCACCAACAAGCTCCAATCTTCTGATCAATCCAATCATCTACGGACGAAGCAACGAATGGACAAATACTCAGAGTTGTGAAGGATATAGCAGAATGGGAAACCCGTGGAATTGTTACACATAGCCATCTTTCTTTGTGTATAAATTTTTTCTCAATTCTTACGACAACATTCTCTTACTAGGATGTTTGTCTCCTTTGTACAAAGATACTTACGAAAATTAATACAAATATACTTCAAAGTCCAGAAATTTGTTTGCCTTTCTTTTTCTTCTTTACACTTATGATTTATTTGAAAACGTCCAATGTTTTGTTAAATAGGCATATGCATTTGAATATAATCACTGCTTACGAGTAAAACGAAATCGGGAAAGGATAATTACTGATAAGTTGAAGGTGTAGGAAGATATCTTTATGCCATTCAAGAAAAGATCCCCTACATTACTTTGTTCAGATCCTCAACAAAGCTAAAACCTCGGAGTACATGTCCCCAACAGAGTTAAGCTTCAATATCCCCCGGCGGAGCCAGTATGTTCCAAACTGGATTCCCCAGCCGAGTTAAGTTTCAAAGTTCCCATCAGAGTTCAAACTCCCGATTCCCAGCAGAGCCAGAATAATCTAAACCTCCTTCCCCATCGAAGTCAAATTTCCAACTGATTAAATTCCCTCAATTTCCCCAGCAGCTAGGATGATTCCCCAGTAGATTGGCATACAACCCAAAGCTCCTGATTTCACCGGCCGAGTAAACATTCTCCCCACAGAGTTATCTCCCAACAGATCGAAGATTCTCGATCCTGTTTCTCTAAGAAGAAACCTCCCAGGTCTTAACTCCCCAATAGAGGTTTTCCCTATTTTCCAGGAAAGCCATGAAGGATTCTCATTCCCCGCAGAAGTTGTCAGAACCCTTGTAAATCCCCGCAAGTCGCCGAGGACCCTCAATCTCCAGCAGTGGTCCTAGGATTTCTCATTCTCGACAATCAAGAGCTTTAATCCCCAAGCAGTCAGCAAGGATTTCTCATATTCAGTAATCAAAGATTTTTGGAATCCCCAGCTTCGGTCAAGGATTTATTTTCCCCGGCAGCAGTCAAAGATTTCATTATCTCCAGCTATCCAGGATTTATCTTCCTCAGCAAGACAGCTACTCAGCTTACATGCATAACCATTACATTCATATATCATAAACATGGATTACAGTTCATTGCATCATACATATCATGCAATATAACTTCGTGTTTTAGCTAACGTTTTACCCTTTTCAGGATAAGATTAAAAGGCTATCATTAACAATTATTCAGATACAGTATGGATACACCCCAGACACGGCGGTCATTCTATTACTCATTCAGAACTCCAAGTCAAGATACAATATGGATACACCCCAGACACGACGGTCATTCTACTACTCATTCAGACTTCAGCAATCAGATACAGACTAGATACGCTCCAGACACGACAGCCATTCTATCTCTCATTCAGATTCAAATATCAACTACAAGTTCAGATGCGCTCCAAACACGGATGTCGTTCTGGCCTTTACACCAGCAGTTTGATTCCCCCAGTGCAGTCGCCACGGAAGTCATTCTGTCACTTATTCAGATCCTAGTTACAGTACGGATACACTCCAGATACGGAAGTCATTCCACTACTCATACAGATCTCAACTTCAGTTACAATCCAGATGCGCTTCAGACATGGTTGCCATTATGTCACTCATTCAAAGTTTATCCCCAGCACACAGTTGCTCCATACGCAGATATTTCTCTGTTACCTAGATACAATATAGATACACTCCAGCCACGGCAGTCATTCTGATATTCATTCAAAGTTCAAATACAGTTACAGTCCAGATGCGCTCCAGACACGGACGCCATTCTTTTGCTCATACAAACTCAGTCTCCAGATACAGTTCAATGGCATTCCAGACACGGATACCATTTTGATGTTCATTCTTCTGACCTACAACGTCGCAAATCGACAAACATTCTTGGATGGCATCTTTAAGACCATCTCCAGCAAGATTCTACCATCTCTAAATGGCATATTTAAGCCCATTTCCTCAGCTATATTTTGACGAGTGCAAATTTACTGGCACTCTAGTGTCCAATCTTCCCTTACCTTCGAGTCGCGAAAGGCAAAACTTGTCAATCTAACTCTTCAGGTCCAAGAATATTGAACAGGGGCAACTGTTGTACCCCAAAATTTGACCTCTCATTTCATCAATACTTTCTCATTACAAGACTCTTGGAATTCAGTATCAAGCTAGGGTTTGCTCTGCTCAAGGCCCCTCCTTGCACTGTTAACCCAAATTAGGGTTTGAGTTTGCACAAGGATATTTTGACCTACAATACCCAAATTGACTTTCATGCTCCATGTTGGGTTCACAAGTTTGCCCATACCAAGTTTCAAGCCTTGATTCAAATCTCTGCCCAGTCAATTGGATAGTTGACCTAGAAATCAGCTTTATTGGGGAAAAAGTCAACTGTGGCCAATTGACAGTCAAACCTCATGATTTTTGAATCACCTCAACATAGTGAACTCATATATGTCATTTGATCAAGTTTGGATCACAATTCCACAAGAAATCTGATCAAATCACCAAAAGGGCAAAATGGTCATTTTTAGGGTTTTGACTGCACAAAGGCAATTTTTGACTATTTGACCTAACCAATGGCAAATCAAGATCAACAATGGACACAAGGACTAAATGACATTGTTTTTACCTATTTAACAAGTTCAAAAGATCTCAAATTCATAGGATTGACAGATGAATTTTTCAGTGAACTAATCAAAATTTGACTGTACACTGAAAAGTCAAACTTTGACTTTTTGGTCAAAATCAAGTTCCAAGAGTTATTTTTCATCAAGACATGTCAAATTATGAAACTTGTTCATCAAGAAACCCAAAAATGAAAATTAGGGTTTAAAATGGAAAAATTTCATAACTTAGAATTTTTCTAAGTTATGAAATTTTCTTATTTTTTCCTAACTTTGTCCCATTTTTTCACCAAGATGCAAATGGATTCAAAAAAAACTTGAAACATGAAAGTTGTATTCCATAACAAAGTCTACAACTTTGATTCACAAAGTTTTCTCAACAGAAGCTTGTATCTCAAGTTATGATTTTTGGAACAAGGGTACCTAAAACTTTTAACTTAGAGAAATTTTGCCCTAATCTAGGCAGGATTTTGACCTATCTTCTTGGCCATTTTTCACATAGTTCCACTTGTATTTTCAAGTTACATTACAAATATGGATTGTATTACAGGTTCCAAGCTTTCCAAATTATCCAAGAACTCCTTAAAAACCCATGTGGTTAGAGAGAATCGAATTCTTGAAGTTGGCAAAAACTCACTTTTGTCCATGACCAATACATGTTCATAACAACTTGCAATTCTGATCTAGCTAACTTGGTTCAACATTACAGGCCTCAAAACCAATTTGTACTCCTTAATTTAATGCATATCCATTGTATTAAGGTATTGTCTTGGTCATTAGGGCATTATACTTTAGTTTAAGCCTTAAAAGGAAAAAGCA